TTAGTTAATGAACTAATGCGACTGATAATAAAAATCGAATATATGGACCTTGCACGCTTAGTAATGCTTCCCGCGGATGTAATAAACCCACAAGCGGATAGCCTTGCATATCCTTGGAGTCTTTTCTTTCCTCCTGTCGGGTAAGTCTTCTTTGAGTACAATTGAGTACTCGGGTTTTATTTCCCCTATTGCGGTGACAAGTGGATGCTAGAGTCGACTCTTGTGTATGGATTCCTCTGGTGGGCTCAGAGAGGATTTCCTTTACGCCTAGATCATAGTTTCTATTTATAACTCTTACTAAATGTTTTATAAATGAAAGTTTTATAATCTGTTGTCATAGTTTATATATCGATGCTTCATCATGCCATGAATAGATATTTATTTCCCCTGTAATTCTGATCACATGTTTATATTCCGCTATTAAATTAAATTATTCATAACTCTGATAACATGATCATATTCCTCTATTATAAACAATGAATATTATAATCTGATGTTGCATGGAAAGTGATGTAAGAAATGGTTAATAATGATATAAGCTTTATTCTCTCATTTGTGATCCTGATGGGAAAAATCTAGATTTTCGGGTTCTCCCCTAGGGTGTGCCCGACGGAACTGCGTAATTTGGTATCCTTCCTTGGATACTTAGTGTCTAATGGAAGACGAGTACTCCTAGGAGGCATTAGATTAGCTGGTTCTGCCATTGGGGAGCTCTCATGCTCATATAGATATCCCTAAGTCTTCCCGCTCTAGGTCTCGTAGAGGAGAAAAGATGAAGAAGTTTGGCAAGTGGTTGAAGGCAATCTTCGGCAAGTGCACCTATGCAGCTGACAGAGCGTATGAGACACAGCTTGAGCAGCGTCAACAGCGTGGACAGGACCTTCCACAACTTCCTCCAATTCCACCTCCCACACAAGATGACCTTTCGAGTCTCTCAACACAAATTCGGATAATGAGGATGATGATGATGATGAAGAGGAGCAAAAGGGACGAGCAGCGTGATTAGGATGAGACCCTAGAGGGATACCGTCAAAGATAGGAGCCAAGGCGTTCCACTCGTTCCACTCGCTACGCCGCCACTACTCAACGTTATTGGGGTTGTGCACGTATTGACTCCGACAACGATGATGGTGATGGTGGTGCCGGAACTTCTTGTGTAGGAGGTGCTAGGGCTGCGGGGAGGTGATGATATTGATTAGACGTACATCCGTGGAGATGACGAGTACTTGTTGATCTTTCTTCTTTTCTTCTCTTTTTGGTGCTTTATGCCAAAGGGGAGAAAATTAGAGGGTCAACAACTTTTTTACGCGCCATGGAGGGTGCTGCTGCGACTAGAGTCATGTTCATATCCGTTTTGGGTAGTCTTCGTTAGGTGAAAGTTTGAGAGTCGCTCAAAACTCTAAATTGTGAAATAATGCTACTATTTGACTCTTTGTATGGGATATGGACATATATTAATCTATGTTGTCGCTTGTGATACAATTGTGCTAGAATATATATCATTATATGTATCACATGCTGTGTGGTGTCTGTTCTGATCTGTGCTATTATAGCAAGTGCGACAGTGCCGCACCCAGCTGCAACAACAAACCATGTTGTGCATAAACAGTCATTTGCATCGCATTTACATACACGACACGATGTCAGACACCTCACGGAGCATGGATCTAGGGGAGCCCCATCACTTTCACTAAAATGTGAATCTTGGCTTCTTATGCCAATTTGAGAATTCAATTTCAGATTCACATACTTAGGAGAGACTCTACACCCATAGCTCGAAAGTCTCAGTATTTATTTCATATCTTTTGTAAGCTCTCATTGGGTTGTCATCAATCACCAAAAAGAGAGAGATTGAAAGTGCAATCAAGCCTTAATTGTGGGTTTTGGTGATAATGACAACGCAATTAGAGAACTAATAAGATTTATTGAGATGACAAGCAGGGAACTTATATTCGAGGATGCTACACGGAACGGAGGAGTCCCCATTTACAAATGTAGATGGCTTCAAACTCAAATGAGGTTTAAATTCTTTTATATATTGAATTTGAGTATAGAAAAAGTTGTACTATAAAGGAGGGCATAATGCTTAAGATAATATGTGCTACCAAGTGCTCAAACAACCACAAGCATCTTTAGATTCAAAGCCAAGACAGTCTACACTTCACTATTACCCTTGCTGTCTTGCGTGGTGCGGCACTGTCACTTGAAGAGAGGCTCGCCTTGACCCCTTGGTTGCTTGGCTCCTGTTCACCCGACCCCTTGGTCGCGGGCTCCCGGCCTCATCCTGACCCCTTAATCAAGGCTCTGATTTGGTGACCCCTTGGTCGCGGGCTCAGCTCGCCCTCGACCCCAAGGTCACATGTCCGGATCGCCTGACCCTTTGGTCATGGGCTCCGTCTCGCCCGACCCTAAGGTTGCGTGGCTCCGGCTTGCTGACCCTTTGGTCGCGTCCTCGTGTCGCCTGACCTCTTGGGAGTAGTGTCCATTATGCAAGGGAATATATACTTTTCCCTTTACTTCCCAACGGCTATCTATGATTTTAGTGATCGTTGGGGGTCGGAGGTATATATACCTTTCCTCTTCCTTCCCAAGAGTAACGAACTAGCTCTCTTCTTCCTCACTTCAGCATGCCCAAAACTAAGCAGGAGCTCTCTTTCTCTCACTCCATTGTTGACCTCAAGCCCTCAAGCAAATCCATTGATTTTCCCATCAATTCTTGAGGAAAAAGGGTCCCAAACTCGATTAGAGAGCAGCTACATTGATTCCCAAACTCTAAAGAGCACTTGGTTCACGTTTTGGCCGGCGGTTGTGTTTGTTACTCTTGGAGCTTGGCTCCTAGCCGGCTAAAGCATCGCCCGTGGAGCTTGCCAACTTGTGTGGCAACCCCGGGAGGTTTGTAACCATCTCTTGAAGCTAGTAAACTCACCCCTCATCTCAAGAGTTAAGTCTCTTAACTTGAGAACGAGGAAGGGTTGGAAAGCTCTAAGCCTTAGTGGCTAACCTCAACAACGTGGAGTTAGGCAAGTCTTGGTAGAGAGCCGAACCACAGGATAAATCATTGTGTCACTTGTACTTGATTTACATTACTTGCATGATATATTATTGATTGAGGTGATTTCTAGAGTTTGAGGCTGATCTACTTGTGTGTGGTTTTTCCACCACTTTCAGCTATCGATCTGTGATCTACTACCCTGCAGGAAGCTAAGAAATATACCTGATCTAAATTTTGTTAGGAAGATTTTGAACTGTGAACTAATCTCTCCTACAGATGCGGCAGTGCCGCGCTCACAGAGCGACAGTGTCGTGGGTGAATTTGACTTCGGTTTGAGTTGAATTTTTATAGGCCTATTCACCCCCAGGCGTACCAGAGATCCTACAATGTTGCAAGTGTTTCAGAGACATGTTGCAACCGTTTGTTCAAAGTGTTTCATCTATTTTCCAGACATATGTTGCAATCGTTTTTTTATCTAGATGTTGCATATGTTTCACACATATGTTCCAAAATGTTACAGATGTTTCAGTCTTATGTTGCAGCAAGTGGTTTCAAGTTGCAAGTTGCAAGTGTTTTATTGGATGTTTCATGTGTTTCCCAGATATTTTGCAAGTACATATTCTAAATGTTTCATCTATTTTAGACGTATGTTGCATTCAAATGTTTTTTCATGTTGCAGGTGTTTTATGTTGTTTGGCCGGGGGCTGGCGAACGGAAAGCGGCAGCAGGTGCGGTAAGTGGAGGGCGATGGCGGTAGGGGCACAAGTAGTCCTCCTGTGGCATGCGGGTGCGGCAAATGAAGGGGGCGCGGGCGGAAAGTGGAGGGGACGTGGGTGGACAGAGGCATGAAGTGGGGGCGGTAGCGGGTGCGAGAAGCGGAGGGCGATGGTGGTAGGGGCACAGGCACACCCCGCACGGTATGCATGGCTCCCAAGCAACTGCAGCAGGCAGTTGTGGTAGGTGAGTTATATTGCAACATGTGCAACATCTCAATCTACTTTGAAATATTCAGATAAAACACTTACAACATTCATACGAAACCACTGAAACACTTGCAAAAGCATATGAAAACTCTTGAAAACCATTGTAAACATACGTAACATCTGGATAATAGTTGCAACATACATGTGAAACATATACAACATCCAGATGAAATACTTGCAATGAACGTCTAAAAAAACAGATGAAACATTTAGAACATACACTTGAAACAGATGTGTATATTTATTACAACATGTGCAACATCACAATCTACTTTTACAACATTAAGACGAAACACTTGCAACATCCAGATGAAACATCTGAAACACTTAAAACATAAGCTTGCAACATGCGCTGCGCAATGTTACTTTGCTGCTTGGATGAGGTACCCGAGCAAAGATGGGCACGCTGGCGAAGGAGAGCGCCACGAAGGCTAGGAGCTTCCACACGCCGAGGTCGAGCTCATCAGCAAGAAGGTCAGCATTAATCAGTGCCCATAGGAGGTCGTCGTTGTCGCCCCCACGTCGCCGAAGACGTTCGACCCATCGACCACGCCTGCATCAACTAGGTTCTGGAGGAGGAGTGGGCGTGGCGTGGCGAGGTTATGGAGGGAGTGGGCGCAGCGTGGCGGCAGATGCGGCGCGGAGAGGGATGGGGGCGTCGGACGGAGTGGGGCATGCCCCCGATGTGTTGAAGCCGCGATGAGCGAAGCGAGTGGGCCATCGGTGGGGGTTATGTCGTGGGGAAACAGACCGATTGCTGTTGGACCCGATTCGCTTCGCAGTCTCAGAAACGGGATGTGTCCGGAATGCACATGCCTGGACACACGTCCTGATCGTAGCATTAGCGCTTTGCAATTCACACGTAGCGTCGCCCAACCCCGGCCGTGGGAAATCCGAAACCTAAACTTCACACTTCACAAAACGCATGATTCGCAGTGCTACTGTGCTAATTTTAACTGCATGCGAACTGTTGATACAATATCTTCAGGAGCGAGTTTCCTGATGAACAAACACCAGCAGCACTCTCAGAACTTTTTGATGAATTCGTAGATGTGCTCGGTGACCTCCTCCGGCTTCTCGAGGTGGATGTAGTGCGCGGCGCCTGCGATCACGGCCACCTCCTCCAGCCCCGGCACGTCGCCCTTGAGCCCGCCCTTGTGTATGTACTCCTGCACCCCCGTGTAGTTGTACGACATGGCGTCCTCGCCGGCGATATACTTGGTCGGCACGGTCACCTTCGCCCCTGTCCATGGCGCCGTCAGCTCCCAGTTCCTACACCACACCACAGATTAGCTCACTTTATCTGAGATTGTTAATCGTCAGCGGAAGGGAATTGAGAAAAACGATGTATAACCATAAAGAATTTGTTCTTACAGGTCGAGGCATCGGTAGAAGTTCATGGCGCCGGCGAACCCGGTCTCGTCGAACTTGGCGGCGAGCCGTTCGACGTACTCCTCCGTGAGCCACGGCGGCAGCGGGATGTCCTGGTCCTGCGGGCCCCACCACTCGGGCGACAGCGAGATAGCGCCGGTGTCGCGGGTGGTGAGCAGCTTCCTGAAGATGAACCGGGTGTCCATCCGCGCGAACTCGGCCTCCATGGCGCCGGGCTCCTGCAGCCGGAGCAGGTAGTAGCCTTCGCCGTAGAGCCGGCGGAACAGCTCGAGCGGGCGCACGCCCGGGTTGCGCGGCATGAAGGCGACGCTCATGTTGACGAGCGCGCGCACCCGGTCCGGGCGGAACGTGGCGAGGTGCCACGCCAGGAGCGCGCCCAGCCCTGGCCGACGACGTACACCCGCGGCAGGGCGAACGCGTCGAGGAGGGCCACCACGTCGCCCACGAGGTGGAAGGCCGTGTAGGAGGAAGGGGACGGCGGCGCCGTGGAGTCGCCGTAGCCCCGGAGGTCGGGGGCTAGGCAGCGGTAGCCCCGCGCCGAGAGGGACCGCAGCTGGTGGTGCCACGAGTGCCAGAGCTCCAGGAAGCCGTGCAGGAACAGCACCGCCGTGCCACCCGCCGAGCCGGAGCCGGAGCCGGCCTCGGCGACGTGGATCTTGATGCCGTTCACGTCCAGCGTCCGGTGGGTCACGCTGACACCCTCCAACGCCGTCGCGGCCATCTCTCGAATCCTCGATCGATCTTATCTCTGTCTTTCAGCTCTCTGTCTTTTGAGTTTCTTGTCTGAATGTCAGTCTCTGGTGGAGTACTTATACATGGTCTCTGTCAGTCTGATATACATGAAGCCGAGCGGCTAGGAATGCTAACAATGGCTCTGAAAACAACCTTGTATTTTCTGGCTTTTACTGTGTTCGTTTCTTGCATCTTTGTGACTGCAGAATAGGACGAAATTTGCGGAAATAAACAAAGAGCTTACACATCATAAACGCTAGCAATATGCTCTGCTTTGGCTAATTGGCTGGCTGCGGGGGATGCTACAAGGGCATCTTCGATATTCGATCTATAACCAGGGCCTGTCCTCACTTGCTGTTGAGTATATGTATATCGAAAGAAGCATCTTTTCAGGTCAGATTCCGCTCATCAGCTGACAAACTACCTACTGACTGCACTGTACAACAAATACGGCAAAGGAATAGCAAGAGAGACAAACTGTTAATTTCCGGTATACTTTTTTAACCATTATGGATCAACATCCAAACTGTATTTTGTTTTACGGGAATGCTATACAACACATGTGTGTTTCTTCCTTTGTTGGCACATGGATTTTCTGTCCGTCGGATCCGTCTCGCATGCTGCTCTGTTGGGCGTTGGATGTGGTCTCATTGTCTTTGTTTCTCCTCGACTGTGGACCTGAATGTCGGCGCTAGTTTTGATTTTTTGGGAGTCACGCCCGATTCAGTGGCGTCCGCCCTCCCACCCCACACCCTCCATTTCCATTTCGTTTCGACTTCTTTCAGGCGACGCGCCGCTCTCCTTGGGCGGCCGACCGGTGATTTCTAGGGTTCGTCGAGGTAAGTTCTCTCCGCTCCCTTCTTGTCTTCCATGGATGCTAGGGCCGACCGGCGATTTCTAGTGCGTTTTGGTTTGTCCCCTTTCTTCTGAATGTTGTTTTCCGGCCGCTCACGACGAAGCGCCCCATCGAGAGTACGCCGCCGCCGCCGCTTTTTCTTTCCCACGGCGCGCGCGCACGACTCCGCCGCTTCATGAAATGTTGTCCCAGCCCCGCCTGGCTCCACCGGCGAAGCCCCAGTTCCCATGCGCCGTTCTAGACCCCTGGCCCCGGCCTCCACGGATGAAATCGCCCGGATCCTGTCGGCACTCTCCGCCCAGGCCGTCCCCCCGGGCTGCACCGGCGGAATCCGCTGGATCCTGTCGACGCTCTCCGCCCAGGCCGTCCCCCCGGGCTCCACCGGCGAACCCGCCGGATCTGGCAACACTCTCCGCCCATCCATCCCCAGCGCCACAAGAAAATTTAGTCGCAGATCTCACCTCTCTGGCGGACTCGCGACCGCGCGCGGCGACGAGGCCCGCTGTCGGTTGCCACGGCAGGCTGCTGGTTCTCAGCCTCGTGCTCTCGGCGCCGGCGACCCTCCACCTCCACAAAAACTGCCCCAATCCCGATCCCCTAACTTCTTCAAGCAGCGGAAGACCCACGTTGTTTATTTTAGATCTCCTCGTTCTGTACTTGTTTCTGACTGGATTTTCATCGGTGTTTCGCGATTCGCCCTTTTCTGTGAAGACCAGCGTCGGATTTGCTTGCCGTCGTTGTTTCGCCGTCGTTGGTGACTACTTTTTGCGCTTTGTTAATGATTTAGATGTTGACCTGTTCGATTAGTTTTCCCCGCTTTTGTTCTTATTTTTTTCAATTTTTCCCTATTATTTGCATATAGGCGAGGCGCTGGTTGAAGTCGAAGTGTAGTAGGAGGTCGACCCGTGGTTGATCCCGAGTTGCCCGTGTGCTCGATTCGAGGTGGAGGCGTAGACGGAGTCCGGGCTCGAAATGGAGTGTAGTTCTTCTGCATTGCTCATTAGTTTGTTTGGTGAGTTGTTTATTTAGTCTGTTTTCTAATTTTTTGCAGATATGGTTTATTTATATTTAGTCATTGGTTGGTAAAACCATGTGATCTTTCTGTAGTTGTTTTTGGATCTATATAGATGGATCCTGAATGATTGTAGTGTTTGTTTTCCAATTTTCGTAGATCCAGTTTATGTTTAGTCTTCTGCTTATCTCAAATTGATTTTCGGTCCTTCCATACTTTATCTGTAGTAGCTCAGTAGCTATCATGCTCGGTTGTGATTGCTCGTAGTTTACAGATGAGAGTTCAACTGCATACTTATAGTTGTTGATTTAGTTTAATTCATAGTTATCTTTGATGTAATTTTGCTAAATTGTTTGCTTTTTTTCTGCAATGATGAGGTCTAGGTGCATGTGTACTAGGAGGCAAAGTTGTAGTTGTATCTGTTGTAGCTGCATCTTTTGTTATTTTTTTTTTCATTTGGCTTTTGGTTTTTTTAGTGCGGATTTACTTGATCATCTGGATAGTTGTTAAAGTTGTTTCAGGTAACTTAGTTAGATGCCCTAGTTTGATTTTATTAGTTGGTGTGTCCAATAAATTCCCTCCTGGTTTTTTGTGCCTGCGCTTGTGTTGTGTTTAGGCCTGGCCAGTGCCTGGTTTCTTGTATGTTTGTATGTACCGTCAGAATAATTATTTTAAGAAAAGTGCTCCAGTAATCCCTTCTTAAAAATTAGAACTGACACTAAAGCATCCTTAATTGATTGGTTTATTTTGAATTACCTCCTGAGCCTGGCCCGGTCCCTCGCAATCCAATTCTTCACTTTCTCTTAGTTGTGGGGCACGATGGCTTGATCTATGGATCAGACATGGCTGATAACCATGGTGATTCATTTTGGGACTGGAGCACTGAAAATTTGTTGGCCTGCGAGGACAGTTTGTTGGACACCACCAGCAGATGACGCTCTATGGTGGACAAAATGCATACTTCTGTTCACCTTTTGCCTATATGGATTTCATTCTTAGACTTCCTTTTACTTTGCCACTCAGTGCTCATTTGAGGTTGTGCTTCCAAGACTATTAGCTTATTGCAATCTGTGTGAATGAATCAGTGACATTAGGATGTGTGCGCTAGAAACTCTGCCACCTGCATACCTCTGCACTCGCCAAAGAAAGCTGCCAACTTTTTTTTGGGGGGGGTGAGGGCCACAATGGGTTAGTGAGGATGGTTTCATTGTTGTACATTAAGCTTGTTGATGGCTAGTTGACATCCTGATTTTTTAACTCCGAATCAAAAAGTGTAGATCCAAGGGTTGGAAGAGGGTACCCACTGAAGGCTGTTAGCAAGGTAATAATATTGTTAAGCCTGCATATTGTGTGCTCGAGTGAAGTTTTTATTTTGATTTCATTGTTTCTGATCCCATGTTGAAATCAAAATAGTGAAACTTTATTTTGATTTCATTGTTTCTGATCCCATGTTGCAGTGAAGTTTTTGGCTCTGCTTGTGTTTTTCTCTTTTGTTGCTGATGATCAGTTGATGCTTATTTGTTTGTAGTAGTTTAATTCTTCTGGTTGGTACTTGGTAGGAGTAGTCTAATTTTATTACTGTAATGTTGCTGATGATCAGTCAACTCCATTGTCACTGTTTATTTTATTTTTACTCAATGTCTATGATAACATAAGATTTTGTCTGACGATAGTTTTGAATAGATGATCTGTCCATAGGTTGCCATGGTATTACTAACTCAGTTGTAATAGCTACACTTACTTTCTCATTAGTTAACTATGAGTAGTAATAGGAATAGAGGACATGGGGAGATTTGTGATGATTCTGTGAGGTAGTTTTTTCTAGTCTGAACCTGTAGTGTTAGCACAAAGCAGTGTAGAGCTAGTTCAGTTGTAATCCGTACTTATGTTATTTCTTTATTTGTTCTGTAAGCTTCCAATATGTTGATTGTAGCTTTAATATTTTCATCTTTGATCGTTCGAGTTTAGATGGACAGGCGCATGCGGAGCTCTTCATGTCCCCCTGTTATTCAATCGTTGGCTCCTCGGTTGAAAGGGAACCTATTTTAGTAGAGTTGCCTTTGAAAGACAACGATGTCTGTGCTATCTGCTTGGGTGTCTTAAATATCAGAAAAGAGGACGATGATGAAGCTGCTTTAGAGGCTGCCATGGAGACACCGAGGGTGCTGCCTTGTATGCATGTCTTCCACAAGATATACATTTTTGAGTGGCTTGGTAGCGATAAGTCGTGCCCTCTGTGTCGATATAGGTATCCTAGTGTAAATGATGGTGATGATGTTGAGTTGTAGTTTGGTTAGTTGATATTATAAGTATTGGTTTTTTTTATGAATACCACTATTGTTTGGCTTGTAATTATTATATTGAACTATGATATATAATATATTTGGCTCTAGTTATTCCAGTGATCTTAGTTCATTTTTTATCCTTAAATTCATGTCATTGAGTTGTTTGGAGTTTCAGGTTATTTTTTCAGGAAGGCTCTCAGTTATTTTTTTATTTGTTGTGTAAGCGTCCAATTACTTTTCGAGTTAGTTGTTTTGCTTCTTCTTTTATTGGCTACAGCTAGCAATGAGGTCATTAACCAATTTTTTTGTTATGTTATGTAGCCATGGATGATGATGAGTTTCTTTACGATCTTTGAGTCCGAAATGGTGAGAGTGAGGATGACTTTGCTATGAACTCAAGAAGACAACAACTCGATTCTATGAATGTTGGCGGTACTAAGTTCACTTGATTTTGTTTTGTTAGTGCACTTGTGTATTATAATAATATGATATATGTTGTTGCCTTTTTTAGATCGAAATCCCACAGATGATGATATTGATACTACTTGAGATGTCAAGACTTTCAAGCATGTGCAGAAGCCTTATTTGGAGTATGTTCTCGAAATTTGTATGGTGAAGATTCCTGTATTTAAATTATAAGCGCGGTTATCCGATATAGACTAGTTACAAAATTCTTAGGCCAGGAAATCATTTTTATGTTAATATTTTGTCTATTCCTTGACGTGTAGTTATCTAGGTACTATTGTTCTCTTTAAGCCAGAATAGTTGAAAGAATGATAATATATTTACGCCCTATCTTTTATAGTGTGATGCAAGCCATTTATTTGTTTTTTTCT